GAGGCCGCCCGGCTGGAGGAGGCGCAGCGGGAGACGCGGGAGCTGATCCGTCAGCGCGTGGAGCAGCTGGTGCGGCTGATCCGTCAGGAGGAAGAGGAGCTGTTGGGGCTGGTGGAGGCGCGGCAGGAGCAGGGCCGTCGGGAGCTGGCGCGGGAGCTGCGGCACGTGGAGGGGGTGCTGCGGCGGATGGAGGCGGGCGAGAGGCTGGTGGAGAAGATGAGCCTGTACGCCACGGAGCAGGAGGTGATGGACATGCAGCCCTTCATCAAGGGCTCGCTGCAGGAGCTCCAGCGGCTGCAGCCACCGTCAGCCGGGGACCAAGCGGGGCCTGGGCCCTTTGCTGAGTGCAGGGCCAGGCTGCAGGCACTGGTGGAGCGCGTCACGGAGCACCCAGGTGAGGAGGCACTTGGCCAGGTGGGTTGGGGAGGGGGGATCTGAAAGCAGAGATGAAGGTTATAACTCCTGTGTAGACCACATTCTCTGTGGGTTTCTCATCTCCTTCAACATTGTGACTGTTCCCATTCCCACCCCTGGAGATGTTCAAGGCCAGGCTGGATGGAGCCCTGAGCAACCTGCTCTAGTGGAAGGTGTCCCTACCCATGGCCTGCAGGTTGGAACCATTCTGTGATTCTATGACTTGAGGGAGCTGTGCCCCACCCAGCCTTTGCTCACGCCTTGAGCACATTCCAGCCTCTCCCAGGGATGGGATGTTGTTGTTGCACCCATCACTTCCAAAGCAAAGGTGTCTCTTGCCCTTGCAGAGTATGGTGAGTGCTCCCCAAATGCACTGGGGGAGAATGCGGGGGATCCCTCGGGATGAATCTGCTGTCTCCAGACCTGGGCTATGACCTCCTTGGCTTTCTGTGCGTGTCCACCACTGAGCTTCCCAGGGCAAGCTCATGTGCCATGGATGGTCCATATAGGAGTCCAGGGGTGATGTCCTGGATGGCACTTGGGGTTTCTTGGGGACAATCTGCCCCCCACCCCACTACTTGCATCTCCTTTTTATGGTAGGCATCATGCCTCTGCTTTCCTTCTCCACCTCACCAAGTCATGCTCTGAGGACCCTTGGAGCCCTGACTATCTCCTCTTGCTTCCTTCATCCCTGCTTCCAGCAACAGGTACCTCCACTTCCCAGCACAATTCCCTGTCTGACGAGAGCACTGTGATCCTTGACCTCAAGCATCCCGGGGAGGATTGCCAACCACAAGGAGATCTCCCTGTGGACCTGCTGGCCCACCACCAGCCCTGTGCCCCTGTGTCAGACCCCTCTGGTGGCCGAGGACACGTGTGCCCCAACCAGGGAGGGGGTATGTCCCCCACCCTACCCACAGCTCCAGCTCTTCTGATGCAGAGGGAGGAAGAAGCAGAGGAAGACTCAGGCTCAGCCCATGGGGACACTGTGCCTCTTCCCAGGAGCATCCAGGACTCTCTGACCTCCCTGCAGGAAGGTTTTGATGGCTGGGCCAGGTCCAACGTGCAGCAGGCAGACAAGCTCCTGAGGATGGGCACTCGCCTCCTGCAAGCTCAGCAGAGGGCAAACAGGCACCTAGTGGCCATGACCCGGGAGATCCGGGCCACGTCCCAGTCCCTGGCCACCATTGCCTCTGCTGTGGGACCCCTGGTGCAGTCCGTGGCCTGCCCACAGAACCCCTCCACCGCAGACATGGACTGGCCATCGCTGCCCTCCAACTTGCTGGACTTATTCCCTTCCAGCACCCCGCAGAAGGATGAACTGCCGGTCCCAGTGGCTGCTGTGGCCCTTTCCCCCAGAACACCCCCTCCTGCCACCCCCCCTGCCAGCCCAACACACTCTGAGACCCCCAGCTTAGAGTCTGAGTGGGAATGCCCCAAATCATTGCTTCCCACCAGGGGCAAGCGGGGTGGGCAGCCCTGCAGGAGACTTCGGAAGCGGAGGAAGTGAGGGTCTGCAAAGCAGGACGTTTGCCATGGACTGTGGCTGCTTGGAAAACCCTCCAGAGGTCCCTGTGGAGACCTTTAGGGCTCCATTTCACCTTGCCATGCCAATAAATCCTCCTGGGATGATCAGCGTGTTGGTCTTTTGCTGGGTTTGGGAAGGCAACAGCTCCCCCATGAACGTGCCCTCACTGTGGCATGGCAATACCTTGCTCAGGAACAGCATGATTCCACTAATGTTCCTTTTTCTTTCCTTTCCAGCGTGTGGAACCTCCTGGCTGATGGGTCTGGGATGGGTGGGAGGGCAGCAAATCCATAAGGGAGAGCTGGAGGGTGAAGGAATGGATGGTGGCTGGGTGGAATGGGCACCTCTCCAGCCCAGCCTGGAGCTGGCTCCTGGATTTCAGCCTTAGTAGCATCTCCAGGAGGTGACCCTCTGAGGAGGTGCCCTCAGAGCCACCTGCACCTTCTGCAGAGGCTTTTCTTCAAGGCTGCTTGAGCTCTGGCTCTTGGCTGGGACTTTCCAAGGTTTCACTGGAATGAGATCAGCCAAGCTGACAGGGCACAGGGCTGCAGGGCCAGGGTGAACTTTGTCCCTTGAAGGCACTTTTCTAGCTGAGGTGCCAACATGTCAGCACGAGACATGCCACTGCATGCACTGAAACAGCTCTCAGAGGCACAATGGTTTGCAAGTCATTTCCTGCCCTGCCTTGCTTAAATCCCACATGCTGCCACAGACTGTGATGGATTTGGTGCCTCCCGACACATCTCCCACAAGAAGGGCAGAGTCCAACTCAAGCAGAAGTGACCTTTAACTGGCTCTGTTCTGGTGTCCAGTCTCATAGTGCATGAAGAAGAGCAACAAGGGTGGTGAAGGGACTCGAACACAAGTCCTGTGAGGAGAGGCTGAGGGAGCTGGGGCTGTTCAGCCTGGAGAAGAGGAGGCTCAGGGGAGAGCTCATCACACTCTACAACTCCCTGAAAGGAGGTTGCAGCCAGGTGGGGGTTGGTCTCTTCTCCCAGGCAGCTCTCAGTAAGACAAGAGGGCATGGTCTTAAGCTCTGCCAGGGGAGGTTTAGGTTGGATATTAGGAAGAAATTCTTTACAGAGAGGGAAATCAGGCACTGGAATGGGCTGCCAAGGGAAGTGGTGGAGTCTCCGTCTCTGGAGGTTTTTAATATGAGACTGGATGTGGCATCAGTGCCATGGTCTGGGAACCATGGCGGGGTTGGATCAAGGGTTGGACTTGATGATCTTGATGGTCCTTTCCAACCCGGCTGTGGTTCTATGATTCTGTGAATGACTTGTCCAGCATCAGAATTAACTTTGCGTGGGACAAAACTGAGGCTGAGGACCCCCAGGCTGCCCTCTGCATCCCCAGCATGGGATCAGAAGGGCTTATCCCTTGCCTGCAAGCCCTGCCAAGCTTGGGAGCTTCAGGGTTGGACCAAGAAGATAAAGATAATTTATTGCCCCAGCTCGGGAAGGACAGGTTCCCATCTTCTCCTCTGCAGCCGTTGAACCAAAGTTTTCCTGGCCTGTGTCAGGCAGAGAGGGAACCTGGACCGATGTGGCTGGAGTGGCCACAGCCCAGGAATGAGGATGTGGTGCTGGTGCCTCAGAGCAGCAGAGACCATCAGGGCAAGAGGACTTGATTTGGACAGGGGCAGACCCGTGTGTTCACCTTGTTCAGCTGTGCTTCGGTGGCAAAGGCCATCTCCATCCCTGACTGCTCACTGGGCTCCTCTTTGCACACTCGGGTGTCCATCCCCACCCCTGCAGAGAGGAGAAAGTCCAAATTGTAGTTGTCCTGATGTCGCTGGTGAAGGTGATGAAGGTTGAAGACAATGACAACGAGTGGAACCATGCTCAGACCAGCTGTTCAGTGTCCCCACGACTCCCACCAAGGACAGTCTGCTAGAAGACAGGCCAGGGGACAACACTGGGCTGCACGGCTCAGGTAAGTCACCTCTGGAGCGATAAATCCACAGGTAGGCTTTAGGATGTGTAGGCATCGGGATGGGACAGTTTGGAGCACCTCTGTGGAGCCCCTGGTCCCACAGTTTGCTTGAGGATGAGCACAGGATGACTCATGTACGGGAGACATGCAGCTTCCCATGAGAAGGATGTTGGCTTGAAGACAAGGAAGAGAACACCAAGAGGTCCTGTTTGCTCAGGGAGGTGCCAAGAAAGGCTGTCAGCCTGGTCCCTTGGGAACAACTCAAGTCGTTTCCCTTCAGATGGTTCTTAGCTCTCCTGCTGGCGGTTGTCCAGTTTGGATCATGCTAAACCAGTCTGATTAAGCCACACATGTCACCTAAAATTCATGGGCATCTCACGTGGTTCTCACCTGAGTGTGGAAGCAAAGCACTAAGCCACAAGCAAACATCCTTGTTTGAAGCCTCCCCAGTGTCACTTCAGTGCCCAAACTGCTTCTCCTCCTGCACACAAACCAGGCACAAGGAAGCCTGTAGGGTGATTCATCTGGATCAACCTGCCCCTGGAGTATTTGTCCCCCCATGGAGGAGACAACCTGCTGCTGAATCATCTCCACAAGGGCTGGACTGCCCACACACCATGGGGACCATTTTGCTCCAGGCCTAATCATTCTAATAATTATTAGAAATAATTATTGTTTCTAATATCAAATAGCTCTAATTTATTCCTGATAAGGAAATTATCACCTCCCTGCTCCATCCCCCAACAGCCCTGCTACGGAAGGACCCCATAACTTGGAGATGGGAGATCCAGGCTGAAGGTGGGACACATCTCTGTGTGTCCTAACTGGTTGTTCCCAAAAGAACAGGGGGAAAAACTGCAGTTGGCTGCACAGCAAGCTCAGCATCTCTCCTGTGAACAAGGGACCCAATCCAGCATCTTGTTCAATCCCACCACAGGGGTCCCACAGAGAATTGGGTCTCTCAGCTGTTTCCAGTTGCCCTGATGGGAGGTGTGCTGAACATCACCTGGGGCGGGAGCTGCCCTGGGAGAGGTGGGCTATAAAAGCTCCCTGGGCAGCAGTTACTCCTTGTGCTGGACCCTGGTAGGCAGGATGAGGTCTGGAAGCAGCCTCGGGTTGGCTCTTTTGTGCTGGGTTTTTGGGGAGGTGGTTGCTTACAACCCCCTGGGTGTCTTTAGAGGGGAGGCAGAGCTATGGAGGTACGGAGGGGATCCTTCCCTGGGGCAGCCACGGACCTTCTCCCAGCCCTGGGCGTGGGTGGACGTGTCCCAGCTCCAGGCCATGGCCCCGCTGCACCCTGTGGCTGTGCAGTGCCAGGAGGCACAGCTGGTGGTCACAGTGCACAGGGACCTCTTTGGCACCGGGCGCCTGGTCAGGGCTGCGGATCTGAGCCTGGGGTCAGCCTCCTGCCTGCCCGTGGTCTGGAGCACCTCTGAGACCACTGTGACCTTCGTGGCTGGGCTGCACGAGTGTGGCAGCACCCTCAGGGTAAGTTGTGGGAGGCTGGACCCCTAAGGGGGAGAGGGACTGCCTCTTGGCTTGCACCCTGGGGTGCTGAGACTGAAGGGATTTGTGGTGTGGTTGGCCTCAGGGAAATGCTCCAAAGTTTTCCTGGAGGCTGAACACCTCGGTCAAGAGGAGCAGGAGCTGCGCTGTATTGTCTGGGCTTGTGTGAGCAGGGAAGAGGCAGAGAAATAAGGTGTTTTTTTTTCTGATAAATATAGAGGTAGCTAAACACTCCAGGACTGTTCGTGCTGCTGCTGCCACCTCGAGGCTGGAGCGCGGAAAACCCGGTGTTGGGAGCCACTGCTCCTTATGGATACCTCAGGAAGCATTTGGGTGCTGCCTATGGGGTGTAGCATGAAGCTACTTCACCAAAAACTTAAGTTTGAAGTGGTCTCTCCCCTGGGAGAGACGTGGGGGGCCATGAGAATGAGCAAGTGCCCCCATCCAACAGATGAAGTCACCCTGTGGTATCCTGGGAGACAGACCTTCCTGTCTGTTGTTCCAGGGCATGGAAACTATAGAATAAAAATAAGAATCAGCTAGAGAACATCTGCATTTAGCTCTGCTGCTGGCCACAGGCTGTCCTGGGCCAGGCTGGAGCAGATTCCCACCCTAGAGGATTCCTACATCAGGATGAGTGCCACTCACCTGCCTCCAGCACAAATGCTGCTGGCTGAGGACCAGAAAAAATATCTCAGTGCTGAGTCTCTGGTCTCAAATGTGCTGCTCTGTGTGTGGTCAAAGGAACAGGGCTCTTAATGACTGCATAATTGCCTTGCCTTTCCCCAGGTGACCCCTGATTCTCTAATCTACACCACGAGCTTAAATTACAGCCCAGTTCTTCCCAGCAATCCTGTTGTCATCCGCACCAGCCCTGCCGTGGTTCCCATCGAGTGCCACTACCCCAGGTGAGCCAAGGCAAGTGAGCAACAAATAATCCCCTCTGCTGCCACAGAGAACTCACCTGTGGGCATTTCTCCTCCCCAGGAGGGACAATGTGAGCAGCCATGGTGTCAAGCCCACGTGGGCACCCTTCCGTTACACCCTGTCCTCTGAGGAGAGGCTGCCCTTCTCCCTGCGCCTCATGAGTGGTAAGTTTGGGGTGAGGATCTCCTCTGGTGGCCATGATTCCACTAGATGGTTCAGTTTTGGGCAGTCCCCAGGGCCTTGTGCCCGTTGGGGTTTCCCTGGGTGGAAGCAGTGAAGCCCAAACCAGCTTCCCATCTAAGAGTGCCTGGTGCCCTCTGTCCTTCCAGATGACTGGAGTGCCGAGAGAGCCTCCGCTGTATTTCAGCTGGGAGAGGTCCTCCACTTCCAAGCTGGTGTTGATGCAGAGAACCATGTGCCTCTGAGGCTCTTTGTGGACAGTTGTGTGGCCACCCTGACCCCGGACAGGACCTCTTCTCTCCAGTATGCCTTCATTGAATTCAGTGGGTAAGAGCTGGCTGTGCCCTTGTTCAAAAGGACCTTTCTGCAGGTTTATGGAGATGTCTGACAGTGGGACCCTGCTGGCCCCTGTGTTTGTGTCCAGGTGCCTGGTGGATGGGCAGGTGGATGATGCCACCTCGACTTTTATATCCCCGAGACCCAGGCAAGATGTGCTTCAGTTTGCAGTAGATGCATTCAAGTTTGCAGGAGACTCCAGCAATATGGTAAATCCTTCCTAAAGCAATTAACTCCCTCTTCTGCATGACAACCTTGCTCCACTAGGAAATTTAAAGTGGTTTTTGTCTAGAATTACATTCCCAAGGCAACATATGAGTGAGGTCATCCTGTACCTCAGGATGTTCATGATGTAGCACTGCTGCTACATCATGGCCCTCTGAGCCAAGGATCAGTCTTGATGCTGGTCAAGACAAGCCCTTCTGATGGGCTTGGTAGCTGAAATCCCAAGTGGCTTGAAGGAATTGGAGGGGCTTGAGCTGCCCTGGGAAGTTGGTAGTCCTGTTGGTGGTCCAACTGGAGACCAAACTTGTGGAGTGTGGGAAAGACATGAAGACACCTGATGGCCAAACCCCTCTGTTCTGCCTGCCCCACCCAGATCTATGTCACCTGCCACCTGAAGGTCTCCCCAGCTGACCAAGCTCCAGACCCTCTGAACAAGGCCTGTTCCTTCAACAAAGCCAGCAACCTGTGAGTAGCTGGAACAGCAGCTTGGCCAAGGGTGGGGAGCTTGGGATTCTCACCTGGTGTGTCACTTTGCAGGGAGGTGGGGTTGGACACCTGAGTTGGGAGGGTTTGGGTCTCTCCTAACAGACCCCAAAGCATGTGAGGTGTTCCTACCATGGGGTGGGCTGGTCACCAGGCTCTCTTCCAGCTGGGATCCTGTGGAAGGCACACGGGATATCTGTTCCTGCTGTGAGATGAGGAGCTGTGGCTTGGCCAGGCACTCCGGGAGGTTCCATGCTCCTTCCCGATGGCCAGGAGGACGTGTCCGGAGAGAACTGCCCTCCCAGCCTGGTATGTCTCTTGGTCTATGCCAAGCTGGAGCTGCTCCATGACCTGTTGGCTCCTCAATGCCAATCCAAGACTTCTGGAGAGGTTCAAATGAGTTGGAGTGTTCACAGGTCCTCCCTTTCAGATCCCTTGGTGAAAGAAGCAGATGTTGTGGTTGGACCTCTCTTCATCCACAGCTGGCAGGATCACACAGCGAGGAGGGTCCCTTCACAAGGTAGGGCAAAGCCAAGGAAGTGGGGTGGTTTGGGGGACAGGTTCTGGCTGTGGCTGTAACTATCTCCTTCCTTCTCCTTCCTAGCTGCAGGTCACCTGTGGATGGTTTGGGGGCTGGCTGCAGTTGCTGGGTTGGTCATCCTGATCCTGGCTGTCCTGGGAGCTCTGACTGTCTGCCAGAAACCCAGCAACCCTGTCTGAAAGCTGAAACCAGGGACTTATACTTTTTTTATTGTGTATGACTGTGAGGGACTTGGTGAGGAGAGGGGAGAAGTCTTCTTTGAGAAGATGGATCGAATCTTTGTGCTGACTTTAACTGAGCTGCTTTGCCTCCCCAATCCCAACTTTATCTCCTTCTCCTCCAGCCCTGCTCTCAGCAGAGCTTTGTGCTGCCTTACCCTCCTCCTTGAACTTCTAGCAGAGCACCTCTTTGGAAACTAATGTGAAAACTCCCCACCGAGATGCTCTGTTTGCTCACCTGTAGAACCATGGAGTTGGGTTTAGTCTCCAAACACTTTTACTTTTTCATGGAGCCATGTGGGTCTGCTCCATGCTGGAAACTCCTTACTCGATGAGCGAAGCATTTAATAAAACTTGGACCACTCTCCTCTTGCCTCAAGCTGTTTTTGGGAGGAAAGTGCAGCTTTGCTGGATGAGGGAGGGAGCATAGTTTGAGGGTCTGTGGGTTTGGCTCTTCATGGGACAGAGAGGCAAGAATTCCATCCCCAGCCCCAAGGACTATTTACACATAGTTGTATGTAACAAGCCTTGGCTGAAATGTATAAACAGTCCTTGGGGCTGGGGTTGGAATTTCTTCCTCTGCTTCCCCCCCCTCCCTGCTCCAAAAAGGGACTTTCTGACATGCCTGAGTCACACTTGCTCTTTTTTTTCCTCCAGTGCTGTGGAATTTGGGCTCTTCCGCTCAGCAGAGTGGCCATAATGGCAAGATGTTCATCCCCAAACCCACAGAGCTCTCCACAAGCTGGGAGAGGTTCACACTTTAGGCAGTGGTGGAATTGGACCAGCTGAACATCTTGAGATGCTGTGTTTGTTGTAGGAGGAAAATTCAGGTGCCTGGATTTATGGAAAAGTGACACCTGTGAGGAGTTGGGATTTGCCTACAGCACAGCCACCTCTTGGGCTGGATTTGCAGAGAGCAGGAGGATTCCTGCAGACCCTTAACCCACGCTGGGGGACTTGTCTTTGTCATAGAAAACAGAGGAAATGGATATTTTGCACAAGCTTGTGTGCCTTGGGGTGTCATCCAGCGCCCTGGAGACCCTCAGCCAGATGTCCTGGGATAAATGTCACCTTGGGCTCTTTGGTACAGGGTTCCAAGCTGAACTTAAGATTTTAGGTCACCCCAAACTTTCTCCTGGTGAAGAAATATTTCTTCCTCCCAGGCCACAAGTTGTGGCTGCTGAGACATGTTGAACCTTCTTGTCACCAATTTCTTCTTGACCAACATTTTCTCCAGGTGTTCAGGGCCCCTTATCATTCTTTGGCATAGGTGCAGGGACTGTCTCTGGTTTGCTGAGACACACAGAGGGTCCCTTTAAGTTAAAACCCTTTCCCTCTGCCATCGGGCACAGCCAAAATACCTCCCCTGGTGTCAGGATGGAAGACAAGCAGAGGCCAAATCTGGTCAATAAGGAAATGGGGGATGGGGAAAAGCTCTCTGACTACCCAGAGCAGCCATCCAATTCCAGCAGCACCCTTAGCACTGACTGAGGGGTTTGACTTAAAACTTTGTTATAAGGAAAAGTGGGATGTGCTTTATCTGATGGTGGGGCAACACTGGGGTTTGTGCTTTCCCACTGCCCTGGGACTTTCTGGCCTTTGCCTTTCCCAAGAAATGAGTTCATGCTCTTTCCCAGCTGTGCTGGTCTGTGGCTCCAATTCTATGAATCCAATGTGCTGTGCTTGGAATAAAGTTGGGACAGAAGAAATCCCCTCTTCCATAGGGAAATACCCCCTCTTCCCAGAGCCTGTGATCATATCACCCTCTGGTCTTTCCCTCTTCTCATTTGTGCTGTGTAAACATGAGGTGATCCATCCAAGGGATTTATCCTCCTTCTGGGTTCAAGCCCTGGTACCCAGAGACCCCCCCAAGCTGGAGCTTTCCAGGGTGAAACCAGGCATCTCCCATGGTCCTTGCAGCCAAGGACTCATCTGAGCAGAGATTCTGCCCCGGGGAGGGGGGGCAGCCACATATTTACTGAATCAGCATCGCCTGCTGCTATCTCCCTGACGCAGGAGCTCAGCCTCTGGAATCCCCGGCATTTCCAAGCAAGTGCCACTTTCAAGGTATGTATTTTAAACATGGAGAGGTCCTGGACCCGCTGGCAGCAACAGGGCTGGGGCATTGGATCCCTGGGGAAAAGCAGAAGGTTTTACCCTAGTCCATAAATGTTCCTACCGGTGGGTTTTGGGGATGTCGAGTCAGGCGCAAGCCAGTGCCAGGTCCAAACCCAGTGGGATTTCTGCTAGGATTGGGCTGGTCAACATCTGCCCCTAAAACTTTCTCTTTCTCTTTCTTTTCCTAGAAGTGGCTCAGCTGTTCCAGCTCAAACATCCAAATCAGGGCATTTCTTCTGTCCCTAAGGTTTGCCAGGGACATCCTGAAAGGTGGCGAGGGGTTTGGGGTATGAAATGGAACATCCATCATGTGGAGTCAAGGGGATACTGGCAGAGCTCTGACAGGGAAAAAGAGTGAAGACACTCAAAAGAAGGAACAGAAACTCCATAATAATAATAATAATACTGAGCCTTGCAATAATATATATAATTAAATAACCCCATAATAATGAGTTTAACAAATAACGAGGCTTGAAAATCTATAAGATTTCTTTTCAAGCAGCTTTTCCTGTTCTCACCAGGCCCTTTTCCCTGAAGGCAACAAAACAAATATAACAGAAAGAGCCAGGGAAGGGCAACAGAGATAAAAAGGAATGATTGGGGCTCTGACCTCACTGCTGAGGCTGAAACAGGGGGGTGTGGGGCCCCCACTGAGAACAGCCACGCTTGTGACAGTGGTGAGGGCTCTGCATCATTGCTGCTGACCCAACACCCCATCCTGGCCCTGCTGAGAGCAGGGGGATGCACAGAGCCCACCTTTGGGATCGAACTGTGAACGTGTGGGCTGCTGCCCACCCATCAGCATCTGAGTGGAAAACCAAAGTCCCAGGGGGGCCAATGGTGCCGGGCTGGGATGGTCCCCGGGATTTGGGATCATGGACCCTGCTCTCCCCACTGCTGTCACCCCCGCAGCAGCCTTGAAAAGCCCCTTATCACCTTCTAACCTAAACAAGTCACTTTGTACCCGTCTCCCCGTCTCCGGCTTCTGCTGAGTTTTATAAACAACTTCCCCAAAGAGGCTGACGAGGATGTTTGCTCTTGCCTTGGGCAGCCCGGGGGCAGGGGGTCCCGGCACCCCGGAAATGACGGGGTCATGCCTCCCCTCTCCCCGCACCCACGAGGGCCGCCCTTTGGGTGCCATTGGCCCCCAAACGGGAGCCCGGGGGCAGACGGCTCCTGCTTCTGAGGGGATATAAAGGCTGAAGGAGCAGCCCCAGTCCTCTGTGCCAGGGCTTGCTGGAAGAAGGAGGGATGGGACCCGAAAGCAGCTTGATCCTCTCTCTTCTCTGCTGGGCGGCGGGCGAGGTGGCTG